TGGGTGAGCCCCGGCCGGCGGCGGGCGGGCGGGCGGGCGGGAGGCACCGGGTGAGCCCCGCTCGGCAGCCTGTTGTGCCCGGCGGGGTGCCCGCCGGGGGCTGCGTGTCGGCGCACGCAGGTGCGGGTGGTCCGGTTCACGGGAGGCGGTTTGGGAATAAGAGTGGTTTAGGATCGCTCGAGCTCCTGCGGAAGGGACACCCGAAGCTTGGTAACTGGTTGCCTGCAGCGGAGCCCATGTCATTACAAAGGAATGGCATTTAACCAGCGAATTCACGTCAGCCTCCTTTAGCCATGTAATTCTACCGAAACTAAGTGGCATCTTGCAGGTATTTCTGTTCAACCAGCAAATTCCAATCAGCTTCCTTTAGATACATAACCCTGGTAAAAGCAGCATCTTCCCAGTAATTTTTTTCAACCAGCAAATTCCAATCAGCTTCCTTTAGGCACATAATTCTGGTAACCGTGGCACCATACAGGTAATTTTATTCAACCTACAAATTCAAATCGGCTTCATTTAGCTATGTAATTCTGGTAAAAATAAGTGACTGAGGTTGAGGTTGCTTACGAGGAGAGACTTGAATTTGAGTTGTCATCCAGAAGTACAGCAGCTCTCCTGGAGGTGAGCTCACTGCTTAGATAACTGTAAGATTCAGGGGTATGTGTTTATGCGTGTACTTAATTGCTTTCTGAAAGTAAGTTTTTTTTTTTTCCCTGCAGGTTATTACCTTGGAATGTGCTTTGCTGCACCTGAAAAACATCTTTGTTTTTTCTACCTGGCTTCAAAAGGATGGAAAACTTTCTTTTTCTTCGCTGTTCTCTTTCCAGCAGTAACCAGTGCCCTGGCATATTACTGGTCACGGAAAGGTTGGAATAATCATCCGTTAGCCCGAACGCTCGCTGTTCATGCTCTCCCGCAGTCAGGTTGGAGGGCAGTAGCTTCTTCCATCAATACAGAATTTAGGAGAATCGACAAGTTTGCTACCGGAGCCCCAGGAGCGAGGGTGATTGTTACGGACACATGGGTGATTAAAGTGACCACCTACTGTTTACATGTTGCCCAGCAGCAGGACATTCATTTGACAGTGACAGACTCCAGACAGCATGAACTCACCCCGGACTCAAACGTGCCTGTGCAGTTCCTCACCATCCGTGTTGCCAGTATTAATCCCTATGTGAAGGCATTTGATATCCGGTAAAACAACTACCCTGTTATGAGATATATATATATATATATATATGCTATTTGATTATGCTAGTGGAGTGCTTTTGTGGCAAATCTGAAGACTCCTTGGGCCTTGTCCCTTCCTTTTTGCTCCCTGCCTGGCGTTCGGAGATGCTGTATGTGCAGTTCTGCCACGCGGTGCAATGGAGAAAGGTTGTTTAGAAAGATTCATATACCAGCAGCATTGGATGCACAGTGGTTAAACAGAGGGACTGCCCTGTTTGATCCATTGTTGGGAAGAGGATTGTGCTGGGTGCAGGAAGGAGTAACTTGAAAAACTTGGTTGAAAGATGGAGAACAGGAATGAAAGAGAATCTTTGATTTTCCAGACTAAAACTGGCTGTTGTTCACCCATGATTCCTTTTTTTGATTCTGCTCAAGGCTCATAATTTTGTCACTGCTCAGAAGAGTTCTTGCTGAGCTACTGCAAGCCAGCTGCCCTTAAAGCAAGGAAGTAATTTTGGTCCATTTCTGATTTATGTGTTCTCATAGCAGTAAATCATAGCAAACATGGTGTGAACTGTTAGGGCTTGCTTTCCAAGAGCCCGTGCTATTTTTCTCAGCAGTCTCTCTATGTAACTAGACAAAAGTACAAGTTCCGCGGAAACCTGTAACACTGAGTAGAAGGGTGCTAAAGTCTCTGTTGTCATTGTGCCATTAAAAAGGCGTACACAAAGCCATGTTAGTGCTCCTAAAACAATATATTTGAAAAGCCATTTGAATGTATGTTTGCTGTAAATTTGTAGGTCAGCATCACTTATTTACTATGTAATTAAAAGTAGGCAGATCACCAGACTTGTGGGTGAGCAGAGGGGTCCTGGCAAGCATGAGGAAGGCACAGAGGTGATTGTGTTAGATATCCAGGTGAACAGAGCTCAGAACAAGAGGTTAGTTAAGGTAAACGTGACAATCCGAAGAAAAGAGGAGAATTTTATAGACCTGTGAGAACAGTGACCAAATAAGTATTAAACAACTAATAATGTTCTTCTGTGCATGCTTCAGTGCCAGTGATGAAACTACATCCCCAGCTGAGAAAATCATGGCTTCTTTAACAATTCCTTTTAGGGAAAAAAAATCCAAACCCCAAAACTTTATTTTGTGGCTAAACAGAACAGCACCGAGAACACTGTTTAACAGTTCTTATAATAAGATGTGTCAGAAATAGCAAATCTCTGCTAGGATGCAGTTGTATGGGATTTAAGAAAAGGGATATATAGGACAAAATTCCCCTGTTAAGGATATAGGATTTTTGTATATATCTAGAATCAGAATTAGATGTGGTGAGATGTTTCTGGAAGAAAAATGCTTTTGTGCAGGCAGGTCACGTTTCCCTGCATGTTCAGTGTGAATTTTTGTCCGGATAGAAAGGTCTCTGTTATTTGCACAGATAGCATCTGTTAACAAACAACATTATCCTATAGTAGTTAAAACAATGAAGACCACCAGCAGCTAAAGCTAAGCCAGCGTAGCATTGTACTGGGCTCCGGGAACTCAGCAAGTGGTAGGAAGGACAAGGTCAGGGCGATGTTCCCAGGACTTCTGCATGAAAGATGTTTAATGAGTGGAAACAGTGAGCTGGGAGGTTCTGGATCTGCAGCTCAGAACTGTTACATTAAAAACGGATAACAACGGTAATGTGTCACTACAGGATCTGCACAAGGTCTCCTGCCACTTGAGGTCTGTGGGCCTCACTTAGACTTAATCTAGCAGAAGCAGTCTAGTATGAAACACAGCTTGTTACAGCCTTAAATCAAAGAGAAAATCACATTCAGCAGCTGTTTGTAACCCTTGTGAAATTTCAGGTTTTATCTAAAATTATATCATAAAATCATAGAAACTGATACTGATTGACATTCCTCTGATACTTTTATGTACTACATCACCTTATGATACATGCCACGTGATATAACTTAATTTCTGACCTCGAGAGTTTATAATCTACAATTTAGATACGGTCTAAGTAAATAGGCAATAAAAAGGTGGACAGAAATTGTGCGTGCAGTACTTTACAGTTAATGTATGGTTTATGTACCTGTATTGCTTTTCTTCATGCTGATTACTTCAAAAGCCTTTATTTTTTTATGAAGTTTTAGTTAATCTCTGGCATATCCAGTCAGCAGTCTGACACAGGTATGAAGGAGGACAGCATGTTCTATCCTCCTAAGGACAGAAGTTGTGTCAAAAACAACAACTGGAAAACAAAATGCTTACTGTGTATTTATTCTGACTAGTGTGTACCAACTTAAATAGCTTTTCTGTGGATTGACTTCTCTGATGTTAACCTCTGCGATGTATCGAGGTATTTGAATGGATAATCACAGTAACATTTTGTTCCATCTTTTCTTCTTCAGGTTGAACTCCACGGAGTATGGAGAGCTCCGAGAAAAGCTCCGTGCTCCCATCAGCAATGCAGCTAATGTTGTGATCCATCAAAGCCTTAGTGATTTATTTCTAGAAACCTTTACATCTCTGGTGGAAATTAATCAGACGTATTCTGTTCCAAGCACTCAGGTGAGACTTTCTATCCATGTGAGACTGTGATAATTACACTTTTCAATACAGGTGAGCCTGTGATTACTGTGTAATTGATAACTGTTTACTTAGGGCTGTCACTGGTGAATTACTAAGATAAGTCATTGTTGTGGAGGTAACCAAAAGGTTTTATTAAACACTGATTAAATGATGATTAAATTATAATTATTAAATGGTAATTAAACTGTAATCAAATGGTAATTAAATGGTAATTGAACAGCAGTCAGACACTCTACCACTTACTACACTTCTAATAATTCAGCTAGCTTGCATACAATATACTTCAGATGTAATATAAATGTCACTTACCTCGCAGGTGATAACAGATGCAGGGTAAGGGATCTCTCGACCTTGAGGAGTAACCTTGAGAGGCATCCTACCCAAGGGGAGATCACTGCGTGCAGCCTGCTGCTGTCCAGGAGAGCTCAGTGGGCTCAAGGGGTTACAGATTTTTATAATGTAAAGTGATTGACTCGTAGTCAAACTCCCCTTGGTGTATGTGCAAGTGTGCAGCTGTAGCAGTTTTAGTTTCCTCTAGTTCCAGCTCAGGCTGGCACTGTTAGCTCCTGATAAGACATGGCCTAGATTCCTTAACATCCTGAGAAGAACTGGCCTAGTAGAATTTCTCAAGGTCTGCACAGCAGGGCTGTCTCCAGTCAGACCTCCTTGTTGGTGATGCCTGAACCAAAGTGCTGTTTACTCAGTTATCCGTCACACTCCACCCAGAACTACAGTCAATTGACTTCACAGAGTGGTGGTACCATCACCTCTTGCCTCTGTGCTATAAATACAAGATGCTAATAGCATCATGTTGTCTACTGGAGGATTAAGTGTTAAATACAAAATTAATTAAGGTTAATTATAAGATAGGTCCATACAATCAGTAGCAAGATATTCAGTATGTTTTACAGTGAGATATACTGATTGGGCCAAAAACCAGACTCAAATATATAAAAGGTCAATAATAGCAAGCTACCAGAAGAACAAACTTTATTACTACAGGACATAACATGGCATTACTGATGAGACCATCTGATAGGGTTTCCCAGCCTTCTTCATGCTTCCTAGTATATGCTGTATTTCTTCTGCATCGTGATGTACAGTTATTAATGTGGTTTTGCTTTGTTGTTGTACTTTTTGTAATACAGACTGTAAGTCTTTTATGTTTCAGTAGCTTGTGAAACAGCATCAAGTTCATTCTGGTGGGGGAAGGGAAAAGGTCTTGAGATAGCATGTACTTTTCCTTTAACAGTGCATGTGAGGTCACTGGGGCTGTATAATTAGTCATATCCAGTAATGTTTATGAATTTACAAGCACACACATTTGGTTGATTTGACACATTACAGGTAAAATTTCTATCAACAATTATGTCTTTGCAAAGTGTTCTTATACAAATTAGCACACGTGGACAGTTCTACCCTTTCCAGGGACCATGACAGGTTAAATATAACTTGTTCCTGTCCTGTACATTTAATAGCATAGGGCTCAATCTCAGATATTTGTGGCTACATAGCTTGGTTGATTGTGGGAGTAATAGAACAGGGAGCAGGTTGATCAGTAGTAGGAGTAGTTGTTGGTACAGTGTGAGGTCTGGGAGTAGATGGTAGCGTGACCTTTAAGGATAGTCCCCTTCTTCTGTCTCTACCTGTCCACAGGCACACTGCTTCTATAGTTGTGTCATTAAAGAGGAAACTAATGATACAGTTGGGGCATGGGGAACAGCCTACTCTGCTTTTTAATTGAGTTTGATTTGTCTTCCTGACAGTTGTGTAGGTTTTTGCCTCTGAATAATCTGTCACGTTAAATTCAACAGAGATTCTGTCAGCTGGTATATACAAAAATAAGGTGACTTAACTTGCTTTTACAATTGCGTGTTTATTGGTGATTGTTATTGATAGGTCTTTTGTTGGTTCTCCCAATATTCCTGTACTTCCATCAGTTTTAAACATGTGATGCAGAATGTACTACAGTTACCGTATTGATGAGCACAAATAAAAGAAGTGAGGGCCTCCACCCCATGCACTGGGCTTGTTGAGGTGTACACCAGAACTGGTCAATGTTGGCAATGATTATTCCTGTGAGAAGGATGAATGTTCCTGATGATCAGTCTAGTCTCCAAGAGAGACATTCTGGTATCATTCCCAGTACCGTTCCTGGAAAGAGAAAACAACACAAGTCTTGGCAGGGTCATTCTGGACTGGTTTTCGTTAGTAGCCAGGATATATGCACCTAGCAGCCTTTGCAGGCAACTTGGTCCTGTTAAGTGAATCTTGAGATGGAATGAAGAAAAATAGTGACATTTTAGAGGTCTTTTGCTATCTAACAGGCCTCAAAACACAAGGGGAGAAGTGCCATGTCTTTTACATCCAGGCTACAAAGGACCCTTATACAATCAATGACTCTCTGGCATGGATGATAAATGGCACACCCCTCAATATAATTGATCCAGGTAGTTTGGAAAAATATCTGGGACTACATACAGATGCATGGGTTAGAATATCTAAGCCAGGACTACTAGAAAAACTTAATTTTATGGGGAGTGTGTTCAGGAGATAACGCGTGTTTTTTCAAGGTCACCTATGACTTCTACGTTACCCGTCTGAGCATCAGCAGAGCTAGGATACTGAGGGAAGTTAGTTATTTTTGAGTCAGGCAGCATGGGTGCAGCAAACTACGGCAGTTCACTGACGCCCACGGGTAGCTGCTAATTTTCATTCAGCTAACCAAGGACACTCCAGGCAGCCAAAAGACCAAACACTACCATCCGCAATTTCCAAACTCATCACTAATACATCAAAGCCTAAAACTTTTTCTTTCCCTGAAACTACTGCTAATTGGTTCCTTGATATCCTTTTCTGCCCTGGCAATAACAAGTTTACTTTAGCTATGGGGCATGTTTTACCTTTGTTGGTAAATCCTGTTATTTTAACCCTCCATTGACCAGGCTTAATGTCAATTCTTTGGGCATCCAAATTTAAGATTATTGAAATTTAAGCTTCTATGACAAAAAAATTCACTAGCTGTCTTTGGGAGCTGATTGGGACATAAATGTGAGGGCTTTCTGTGTGATCCCATTGATAAGTTTAATCCTCTCGACAAGCAGCTCAAGTTGCTGTCCAGGACTCACTTTTTTTTTGGCTTCAAGGTTTGCAATTTCTAAGAAGTCTAAAAGGGTTATTTGCAGGGTCTTTGGGGGTGGACGGTTGTTTGGTTTGATTCCCTGATACCCCTTGTTTTCAGAAAGCCTTGGTCAGACTAAGTATAGTTCCCTTCAGCTGACTATGTATGGCTGCCTGAGGTATGCCCAGCACTAAGACTTTTCTCCAGAGTTCGTTACAACTTTTCCAGGGCTCCACTACCTCACTGGGGGGTTTATGAGATTGGGAAAGGTGTTGGGGTTTCTGGGGAGTCTGTTTTACTTGCCAGATCTATCTGCTCTCTGCTGCAGCTTGAGATTGCCTGCCCAGTTGGTGTCGGTTCGTCCCACCTCATCTCTTGACCATGACTGACAATGCCATGCAACAGTTCTGCCCAGGTCAGGATGGATCGGAAGCACTTGGGCATCCTGACCCTTCTGAGTGTCATGCTCTATGTTTTGTCTTATTTCGTCCATTTTTGCAATCAGGTATGGTATTAGGATAGCAGGGGCTCCCCTTACAGTGGTTTCACAGCCTGAGGGTCTACAGAGGCAGTGATAGGGTAATTACCATGTGCACCTCTGTCGTTCACAGACTGAAGGCAGGCTGCTTTTGTAACGACAGTAGAAAGTTCATTTAATGATCTTACTGGTAGGCTCTCCTCAATCCTGAGGGTCTATGCCCCCTGTCCAATACACCACTTGTAGCACACACTTTGAAATACATCTCAGTTAATCACCACCACCTTTCCTGTCTTTTGATATATACACACAGATACTATTCCCTTAGTCTGTGAACCATCCCTCTAAAATGTCCATTGAGTTCAGTTAGTTCATGACTTTGGGCTCCATCTGTCATAACAGCCCTTCAGGGCAAGAGAGATGGTGTGTGGTGTTGGATTGTTCCATGATGCAGTCAGTTCTGGTTCCATCACTGCTGGGCTTGCCCAGTTCTATCACTGCTGCACTTTGCTCAGTTTCATCAGAATTCATTCTTCATTAATCTGAGTAATTCTTACTGCAATACCATTGATATGTCATCTAGCAACCATAAATGACATATAGTATTACATAGCAATTGGAATCATACAGTTTAATTCAGTGGCTCTTCTCACACAAAATCAAATCCCCTTGAGGTACACATTGGACTTACCCATCCTTCCCACCAAGTGCACCCAGGTTCTTGAGCAAAAACAATCCCATGGATGAGTTTGTCTTTGCCAAAGTCAGGAATAACCCAGACTGTCTTCCCCAGCATATTTTTTATGTGCACCACAGGGGCTTTATCCCCTTCTGCGGTGTGTACATGTTTTGATTGGGCAGGACCAGCTCAATTGGCAGATCCCTAGTGTTGACTAACCAGGTGGCTTTTGCTAAATGTGTCTTGTAGTGTTTGAATGTCGCATCACCCGCTGCTCTCAGCGTTGTCTTTAACAGTCCATTGTACTGTTTAGTTTTCCTGGAGGCTGGTGCATGATAGGGGATGTGATACCCACTCAGTGCCATTCTTTTTGGCCCAAGTGTCTATGAGGTTGTTTTAAAAAGGACTCCTGTTGTCTGACTCAATTCTTTCTGGGGTGCCATAAGACTTGCTTTTCAAGGCCCAGGACAGTGTTTGGGCGGTGGCACAGGGCACAGCATATGTTTCCAGCCAGCCAGTGGCTTCCTCCACCATTGTGAATACATGGTGCTTGCCTTGGCGGGTTTGTGGATTGTGATATAAACAGTCTGCCAGGCCTCCCCTCCCCATATTTATATTTCAGCCATCATCCTCCATACCACAGAGGCTTTTAACTGCTTGGCTTGCTTGATTGCAGCGCATGTTTTACATTTGTGGATAATCTGTGTGGTAGTGTCCATGGTCAAGTCCACCCTTCGGTCACAAGCCCGTCTATATGTTACATCTCTTCTGTGATGGCCTGAGGTGTCATGGATCTAGTGAACTATAAATAATTCACCCTTATGTTGCCCATCCAGATCCACCTGAACCACTTCAATCTTAGCAGCCTGATCCACCTGCTGGTTATTTTGATGTTCTTCAGTGGTCTGACTCTTGGGTATGTGGGCATCTATGTGACGTACTTTTACAGTGAGGTTCTCTAGTTGGGCAGCAATATCTTGCCACAGTGGAGCAGTCCAGATGGGTTGACCTCTGTGCTACCAGCTGCTCTGCTTCTGTTGCTGTAACCACCCCCACAGGGCACTTGCCACCATCCATGGGTCAGTATAGAGAAGGAGCACTGGCCACTTCTCTTGGCCAGCAATGTCTAAAGCTAGCTGGATGGTCTTCACTTCTACAGATTGGTTTGATTTACCTTCTTCTTTTGCAATTTCTGTGACTTCTTGTATAGGAGCCTTCCACTACCGATGCTTTCCTACAATATGACAGGACCCATCAGTGAATAGGGCATATTGCTTCTCATTTTCTGGTAGATTTGGCATGTGTCACCTCCTCTGGCGATATTCTGAAGTCTTTGCCTTCTGGCCAGTCCATGATCAGTTCTAAGACTCCTGAGTGACTAGGGTTTCCAGTTTGAGCCTGTTGCGTGATCAGTGCAACCTGCTTACTCCACATAGCATCAGTTGCATGATGTGTAGAGGGGACCCTCCCTTTGAACATCCAGCACAGCACTGGCAGTTGCGGTGCCAAGAGGAGCTGTGCTGCAGTACCAACCACTTCCGAGCAGCTAAGACCCATTCATATGCTGCCAGTATTTATTTTTTTTTGAGTATAGTGGGCCTCAGATCCTCTGTATCCCTGACCCCAAAACCCTAGTGGTTGACCTCAAGTCTCCCCTGGTGCTTTCTGCCAGAGGCTTCAGGTAGGGCCATTCTCATATGTGGTGTACAGAACATATTTTACATCTTGTCCTGCCCAGACTGGCCCAAGGGCTACTGCAATGTCCCGTTTAATTTGTTCAAAGGCTTGTTGTTGCTCAGGGCCTCATTTGAAATTCTTCTTCTGCGTCACGACACAGTGGGATGGGGGAAGAGTATTGGGAAAAAAAGGTAAAACTTATGGGTTGAGATAAAGACAGTTTAATAGGACAGAAAAGGAAAGGAAAAATAATGTTAAAAGAATATACAAACAAGTGATGCACCATGTAGTTGCTCACCATCGATGCCCAGCCAGCCCCCCAATCCCAATTTTATTTCAAATTAATTATTCTTAATTGGGGCTTGCTTTCATTGTAAATAACACCATAGAGTCCTACCTTCAGTAATACTTGCGGAGACCTGGTAGTTATAATACTTGTGCAGCAATCAACAGTGTGACTAGAGCACTGTTCAGGGTAACAGAGGTAACTAAAGTAGTTCTGATGACCTTACAGTGAGGCTGTGTGAGATGTTCCAGCTAGTGCAGTGACTACTTGATATCTTCAGCAGTGTCATGCATCTTATGTGGCGTCTTTACTGTATGGTTCCATGAACTAGCTAAAATAAAACTGGATCAAATATGTCTGCACATAATGCAGTTGTGTGTTCTGATTGCAGTGCCAGCACACAGTGAAAAGAGATGCTGAAAATAAAGAGAAGATACTGTTCATTTGAGAGAGTTGCCCTCTTGCACAGCTTTTCATTTGTGACATATTTAAGTGTCAGTTGAGCTACTGAACTTTGGTTTGACATTGAGTGATAAATAACCTCAGAAATTATGATAAGGACATTAAAAATACAACATGGGATTCTTTCCTATTCTGAAGCTCCATGAGTAAGTTGAAAAAGTTAGTTAAGCTTTCTATGTTAGAGCTTTTCCAGCCTAAAAATTGAGATAAGCCCTAATTTCACAAGTTAAAGCTGATATAGCTTCTGAAAGAAGTAGTCCTCCTCCTGCACACTCCTCGTCCCCGTGTTGACACAAGACTTTGTGCTTGGGGGACATGATTGAGGTAAAAAGAGGCAAAGAAAGATGACTAGTTTTCGTCTGGATCCCCTTCACAGTCAAGCTGCCAGTGTAGCTGAATGGACACTTTTGCTGACAAGGGAAGAAGCACTGGAGGTGTGATATAGAGACCACAACGCAGAGCTGTATGAATAAGATTCAGGTCTCCAGGCTTGTTCAGTGTGTTGTCTTTGAACTGTGTGAAGTTCTTGGAGAGCTTTGGCTGGAAGACACATGGGAAATGCTAGTTACTGTTTATTAATTGTAAAACACTTCATAGCAAGATGATCTTCCTCTATCCCAACTGAAAGTTCGCATGGCATAATTAACTGTGGGGAAATACCAGTTATTCCAATATTATCTAAGTAAATTTCTTGTACTTCAAGATGGGTGCCCACTGTGTTCAGTAAAGCCCCAATTTCCTCTGTTATTTATGTCTCTTACTTATAAAGATGGAAGGTAGGAACAGCCATATACTGTAATAAGGGGTAAGAACTGTTTGCTTTTTTTTATTTTCCTTACTTTATATTGGTATGTTTTTTTTGAAAAATATCTGAATGATAAAGATGGCTGCTTGCTTACCTTTCTCTGGCTGCTGTTCTCTGGAAACAGGTGGAGCTCTTCAGAGAAAGAGTGTTTATTTTTGTTTAATTAGTCTCATCAAGCAGTTCTGGGTTTTTTGTTTCAAGAGACAATTTGTTCTCATTCAGTAGAGGTTATTCTAATAAATAATAAAACACAGCTCAGTAGATTGAAATGGTTTGGTATCTTCTGTTGGGGCAGTTCTACCCAACTCTGCCCAACTCAGGTTCCTGCTATGCTTGTGTGCACATGTTCTAAAAGCCTTTGAAGAGCAATAACAGAAAGCATTCTGTGCAGTTCGTAATTTTGATGTTTTTCTCCTCCTTTAGGAGCTGGAGCCATGCATAGGGTGTATGCAGACCATTGCTAACATCAAGCTCATCAAGAACTGCCAGGAGCCAAACGAAGGGGAATGCCAGCAGTGCTACTGTCGTCCCATGTGGTGCCTCACCTGCATGGGCAAATGGTTTGCCAGCCGACAGGATCAGCAGCACCCTGAGACCTGGCTGTCAAGCCAAGTGCCTTGTCCCACTTGCCGAGCCAAATTTTGCATTTTAGATGTTTGCATAATACGATGAGTAATACTTGGGTATGTTTTAACTTTTTTGAGTGCATTTCATAGCTGGTTTGGTTAAAAGGCCTGTTGGATTTGTTTCTGAGACTTCATGTTATACATGGGTGCAAACTCCAAAGCCTTCTTTTACAGTGTTGAAAACAGATGTAAATCTTTTCAGTTTCTCTCCAATTCTACCTGTACCTTCAGTTTTTATTCACCGGATGTCAGTTTCCGTTTTTTGGGTTTTTTTTTAACTTGTATTTTGCTTTCTTATGTGTTGGATGGAATAAGGGTTACCCTTTATATTTGTGGCACTGTTTTCAAGTTTTAACATAGGTTACGTTTTTTGAATTTAACTTGGGTTTTGTTTCTTTAGTAAAAGGTTAATGGAGAAAATTACTTTGGTTAGACTTCACTGATACTTTTATTCTTCTCTAATCCATTTGTAAAGTTCTTACCAATCTTTGCACATGTTCACCATACAGTTATACCAGATTTGTTCCTTCTGCGGGTCCCCTTTCTGTACTCTAAGGAATTTAATCCCTGAAGATGTACAGCTCCTGTAGGGACCTTTTATTCCACTAATCTGCCTCTAGTTTATTTTTGATGGATGTATGTATTTCAAACAACAGAAGGATTCAGAAACATACCCATTTACCTACACTGCTCATACTATGCTTTGTTAAATCTGTTGGTTTCCAGGAGCTACATTGCTTAGGGTTTCAATGCTCTTTAAAAAGGTAATGGACCTTTTTTATACATTTGAAGGGAGTGCAGCAAACATCTATCTAAATAGTCCGAAAGAATACTCAGCTATTTCAGAGCATGTAAGCTTTTTCTGAGGGGTAACCTTTCCCCTGAGACAGATGCCAGGATCACAGCGGTTTAAGTTTCCATGCTAGATCCCAAAAGAATGACCATCATTAACAAAAGGTTTTCGGGCTTGCAATTTAAGACTGATCATAAGCAGTAGTCAGTGTTTTGATATTCATAGGATGCAGGCTTCTTGATCTGATCTGCATCAGAATAATTTGTAAATTAAAATCAAAGCATTTTCCATACATTTAAGAGAGTGCTACTTGACCTAAATGCAGTGTGTAGTGTTGTAGCTGTCCATCACACCCTTCAATGAACAATTATTTGGCATACTGCTTGGTGGAGAGCCTCAAGCTGCTGGAGAATGCATGAGTTCTTACACTGACCTGTGCACTGCAGGGGCTGAGATGCAGGTATTTGCTTGCTCGGGTTGTTTATCTTGGAGGGGTGGTATCCTCAGGCAGACAGGTGGGTCAATAGTTAGGAAAAGGAATATTTTAATGCTTTGGTGTAGGAGAATAAAAGTCCTAATGCCTCCCACCTGTGTAATCAGAAGGTTCTTATCAGTAAATGACTTGCATAGATGACATGCCAGTGATTACAGGAAAACATCTTTATTACCATGACCAGCAACTGCTTTGAGCAGGAATAGGTGGCAGGATGTTAAAAACGGTACAAGTACTGAAAGCACAACCACAAAAGGTTTCATTAGTTGCAGCCTAGCTGCAGGTTTTGTGGTGAATGCACCAAACTGCACTGGGAGCCAGCCACCCAAGAAATGGTTAGAAAATTGACTGCAAACTGTATTTTGGAGAAGGATAAGGAATTGAGAGCAGATTTGACAGCATTATTTGAGAACTAACATATATGTTATATTGGGGGGGGGGTTGTTTCGGGGTTTTTTAATAATATACATTTATAAATGTCCCAGCTGTTTGGGTTTAAGGACACTGATGCTTGAGTATATCTCAGTTGTTACATACACAACATCTACTATGCAATTATCTATACTACCTATTAATAATGGTGATTTTTCTGCTTTTCATTACCTGTTGTTTTGGATTGTAAAGAGTGAAAATTTGACACTGAGACTAGTAGTATAGATTTGTCTGTCTTTCCCAAAGAGGTCTTAAGTGGCACGTCTCTCTTCATCTGAATAGGATTGAGTTCCTGAGATTCAGATTTGTTGACAATCACTGATCAGTGATTGAATTTAAAATATTTTCCAGTCTCCTGTGGGAAAGTTAGTTGGAAGTTTGAAATAGTCTCTGCAGGTTACTTTAATTGTTATGGGGCCAGGTAGTGTCATCTGACATTCACCTCCTCCTCACAACACAGCAGCCTTTACAAATAAGCATTTTCTACCATTTGCTTATGTAAAGTTTACATGATGTGTCACAGATATAAGGGATGTATGTGGTCCTTGAAATAGTTGCAGAAGAGAGGGTAGGATTTTGAAGTTGTGGTCTTGCCACTGACAGTCATTCACTTCCTACAGCTCTTTTCCTGTTTGGAATAAAAATATTTATTGTAAAGATGTGTGAAGTTAAAATTGTAAAGAAACATAGATAATAGATACATGTAGTTGCAGATGGTTTTATAGGAGGAAAACAGGTCAGTTTCTCATGTAGTAAGAGCTTTAGTCTCCCAATTGCTTGTGCAGTGAAGTTGTTTACAGAAATCTGCTTTGAATTGATAGGAAGTTTTAATTTCAGTGGAACTTTGCTTTTATTCATCTTACTACTTTTGTCAGGATAACAGTATGACAAAATAACAGTCATAAATGTGTAATACTTTTGCATCTATTAATGGTAGTGTTCTATCCACAGAAGTGCCTCTTAGAAAACTTAGTAATAATTACCAAAATAAAATTATTATTTCTGTTCATAATAGTGCCTGGCTTAAATTCCTTAAAACAAGCATTTTTTTCCAAGTTTAAATTTTCGAAGTCACACCTGGCATGCCTCAAAAGTTTGTAATCTTCGTAAAGGCTGTGTTAGAGAACCAACTTGTTAAAAATCCATGAGACATGTTGTTCGTGGAGACAGTAGAAGGAGAAAACATGACCTCTCCTTGAACAGTCGTGTTATCTTATTTGTCTTGAATAAATCACTGAACATTAGAATAATAGAGTACAAAAATAGGCATTTGTCTTCATGATAGCTTCAGGTCATTATCTAAAGAGTCATGTGTGCATTTAGGGCTGTTTCTAGAGAAGATCTCTGCAGTAAAATTAAATACATTGCCTCCCACCCAATCTTGATATGTTTCTTACACATAAGGATAGGGTTTAGATTTGGTCTTTTTACACCACTTTTCTAAGAAAAAAATGAGCCGAGTAACATGATGGGCTAAAATATTTACTTAAAGAGTTTTCTTGAATTATTAGGTGTTGCTTTTTCAGCTCTGTGTATGTTCTTCCACATCACTGACTTGTGGGTAGGCAGTGTTAGTAATCTGAAGTACATTATATAAATGTAATGTCAGTATGACAATCTATATGTGGGTGCACAGTGTCAGTATAAAGACCCCATATGTGTGTATACATGTATAGCCTGAATTTCCCTATGTGCTGCAGCTGAACAGGCGTTTTGAAAACATGGGCTGTGGCTATATTATTTATTTCCACAGCTCTGTAATTTCTGTTGTAACATTCCAGAAGATACTGGTAAAATATCTTATCTGTTCATTTTTTAGGTTAACATAGTTTGCTAATCCAAAAAATGCATTTTGAAAGGCAGGATGTATGTTGAATTCATTATATGAATTCAGTTGTTTACCATAAGTCTTGCCATAACTCAAACACAAATACCAGGTTATTATGTGATCTCTTCAGTATGCATATTGTGCTGAAACTCATAGACTGCAGCTATGTATCATTCCAGTCAAGCTAAACCTCAGTAAGACATAACTGACTAATGTTGAGTGCTGTTTCTTAAGAAATTTTGACTTTTGAGCTATTCAAGGAGTTGAGATGTAAATATTCAAGCTCTTACATGCATTACAAGACATCTTCTTCCAAAGATATACTGCAGGGTTTGTTATTCATGTGGGGTTTTTACCTGGATAGTTTACCTATTTTAAAATGGACAGTATTGGATAGCTTTTACAGAAAAGGCTTAATAAATACATGTAGTTAATCTTAAAAATATTTGAAGAGCTGAATAAAAATACAGTTGACTTTATGTAAGACTTCTGGTTTTCATTTTCAAATTATGTTTACCAGTTAAAACTTTGAGTGGAAGTGAATGTAACTTACCTGTATAAATGTTTTAGGTGAGAACATGTGAATACGAAGAGGGCTTAAATTCTCCTGAAGGTGCATGTGGTAGTTACTTTTCTGAATTTTCCTACTATAACCTGAACGTAGAGTTCCATAAATGAAAGAAGGTATGGAAGATCGATGTATGTATCTCAGGGAAAAAATAAATGCTTTCCATAATTAGGAAG